CTCTACACCGATATTCCTACAAATGACGTTGTTTATGATATTGGCCTACCATGCGATGTGCCTCTATCTCGATCACAGTCGTTATACTCTCATGTCACTGAATGACTTGATCATTTCCATACCATTATTCCCGCAAATGACGTTGTTCATTGATAGTGGCCTACCAAGCGATGAGCCCCTATCTCCCCCCTTGTTTCTAAATAGTGACCTACCATGCGATGAGTCACTATTCATCAACGGTACCACATCATCCCTGTAGGGCTACCATGTGATGAGCCTCACTTTCAAAATACCAGGTTGAGTTGTTATATTGAACGACACAACCAAACTCGCCTCACTTTCAAAATACCAGGTTGAGTTGTTATATTGAACGACACAACCAAACTCTAACACTTAATCCAATGCCTTGAACTGTTATATTGAACGACACAACCAAACTCTAACACTTAATCCAATGCCTTGAACGGCTAAGGATAGAGAAAAAATCATAGCATTAAGTCTAAGAAAAACTTCTCAATAACTTACCATGCTAAGGGCAAAAGCATAGTTAGTCCAACTCAAACGGCAGTTGGTAAAGACAAATCAAGTCCGTTGATAGCTGAGGATTTGCTAAAAATCCTAAGTCTTGATTGTCAGTCCCACATGAGTTTGATGAAGTTCACCCCGGAGCATTGAAGCTTATCAAGAGGCCAAGCTCGCTAAGAGGCCAAGCTCATCGTGTAAGCCAAGCTCGCTACAACCAAGAGAGTTCAAAGTATTCCAGACCCATATAACCCAATTTGGGTCGGAAAACTTTGAAGGGGGTTTTGTAGACACTAAAAAGTGCCAAGAAACAAAGGAGAGTCGAACCTCACTACAAGCACGACGAGGGTCATCACAACGACAAACCTCAGCCTCAATTCATGAAGTTTGTCTTAGTTCAATAGGACAAACAACACCTTACCCATCAGAAGACGAAGCCGAAATCAAGTTCGCCAAAGATATAGCGAAGTGAACGAACATTGTCAGGCGGACGAACCTCGTCTGGCAAACGAACTTCGTCAGGCACCGTTTCAAAGGGCTACATTAAATGATAGTTATTGACCACTAACTCATCCATTTAAATGGGAGTTAACGACCTCTAACTCCCTCATTATAAGGAGAGTTAAAGCCCATTAACTCACTCCCTAATGGCTCTAAGCCTATAAATAGGCATGATCAACATGAAAAGAAAGGAGGGGATTGAGAGGCTAGTGAAAAAATGCCTATCTCTCCTCCACTCTTATGGATCTTCATAGATAATTGGCTAATCATTTGGCCTTAGAACGTTGAAGCTCATAACGAGCATGACGAGGGTCATTACAATGATGAACCTCGTCTCAAATAACAAAGCTTGTCGTTGGAAACAAGATGTGAAGCTCGTCATTGGAAACGAGATTCGAATATCTCATCTTTGGAAATGAGATTCGAATATCTCATCATTGGAAATAAAACTTGACATCAAAGACGAAGCTCGTCATTGGAAATGAGGTTCGAAGCTCGTCATTGGATACGAGGTTCGGAGTTCATCATCGGAGGTGAAGTTCGTCAATGAAAACAAAGCTTGTCATCAGATTTAAAGCTCGTCAGTGAAGACGAAGCTCATTATTAAAGAAGCTCACGAGGCTCACCACACAGCGAGGCTCAACATCAAAGACGAGGCTCTCCATGCAGCGAGGCTCGACATCAAAGACGAGGCTCGTCACGCAGTGAGGCTCGACATCAAGGACGAGGTTCACCAACGCAGTGAAGTTCGTCACCCACATTAAATCAGGCTGTAATGGTCACGAAGACCTAGTCAGCCACGTGGGCTAGATTCAAGGAGTTAGTTACGCCACGACTCCACAATTTCATCGTATCAGTTATGCCCACGACTCCACGATTATAGCACGTCGGTTACGTGCTAAAGCTATATAAATAGCCGCTAGCAGCTATGGAGTGGAGGGGTTGGTGAATTGAGACTTTTAATCATTAGAAATCAGAGATTTTGCGTGTAAATTCGGAGTTTGAATTTTGATTCCAGCCGGCTAACGAAGGTCAGAAGCTCTTGTGATCTTGGTCTCGTCAACGGGAGGTAAGCTCGACTCAAGCATCGGGGGAAGGATCATTTTGCCACCTAGAACCCACCTTAAACAAAAGAGAAGCTGAATTAATTTTCTCTTCCTCTGTAATCGAGAGAGAGTGTGAGTGATTGTAAGGGTTTCGTACCAAGTGATCGAACCCATTTCTTAAAACAAGAAAATCAATCCCAACATCAATTTTTTCGACCCTACATAGTTGAATGACATTTCCTTCCGTATAGAGCCTCATACGGTGCCATCTTAATGCTTGATTGGTAACTATTATTATATGCAAACTCTGCCAATGGCAAATGCTCCTCCCATGATCCTTTCAAATCAAGGATACAACATCTTAATATATCCTTAAGAGTTTGAATTGTTCTCTCAGATTGACCATCTGTTTGTGGATGATATGCTGAGCTAAAATAGAATTTACTCTAAAGAACTTTATGCACACCTTTCTAATACTCTGATACGAATCTAGGATCTCTATCAGAGACTATCTTCATGGGTACACAATGAAGTCTAACTACTTCAGCAATATACAACTTCACAAGCTTCTCCAAGGAAAACTTCATATTGATTGGTAAGAAGTGAGCCGACTTAGTCAGATAGTCCACTATGACCCATATAGCGTTGTTACCCCTTGTGGATCTTGGTAATCCTGTGACAAAATCCATTAAAATCTTCTCCCACTTCTACATTGGTATGTCGAGATTTTGAGTTAATCTAGTTGGCCTTTGATGCTCTGCTTTTACTTGCTGACATATTTCACACTCTGAAACATATTTGCTAATATCTCTCTTCATATTATTCCACCAGTATATCTCTTTCAAATCTTTGTATATTTTGGTTCCACCAAGATGCATTGTATATCCAGAACGATGAGCCTCCTTCAAAATCTTCTTCTTCAATTCTGGATTATTCGGAACATAGAGTCGATTTCTGAACCTAAGGGATCTATTACGGTGTATTACAAAATCTAGTTGTTTACCATCCCTAACTCCTTTCCGAATGACCTCCAAATCCAAGTCATCTTTTTGGATAATCTTAATCTCATCAACTAGAGCAGGTTGTACTTGGATGTTATTCAACTCGGCCGATAGTTGTTGACATTGGATCTCAATTCTCAATCGATCCAAATCTTCTAATATATACCTTTGTCGAGTAATGAGACAAGCTATATTACTTTTTCGACTAAGGGCATCAACAACTACATTGGCTTTTCCTGGGTGATAATTAATACTAACATCATAATCTTTAAGTAGCTCTAACCATTACCTTTGTCTCATGTTCAACTCTTTTTGAGTAAAAATATATTTTAAACTCTTGTGATCGGTATAAATTTCATAATGCACTCCATAAAGATAATGTCTCCAAAATTTTAAGGCAAAAATAACAGCCACCAACTCTAAATCATGTGTTGGATAATTTTGCTCATAAGGTTTCAGTTGTCGAGATCTATAAGCTATCACTTTTCCATTTTGCATGAGCACACATCACAAACCTTTATGAGAGGCATCACTATACAAAGTAAAATCTTCTTCTGCAACTGGTATAGTGAGAATTGGTGTAGACACTAGTATGTTCTTTAACTCTTGAAAGCTCATTTCGCATTCTTCAGACCAAACAAATTTGATTCCCTTTTGAGTCAAACGGGTCAAAGGTGAGGCAATACAATAAAATCCTTCTACAAACCTTCGATAATAACCCGCCATACCAAGAAAGCTGCGGATTTTATGAACATTTATTGGTCTTTTTTTGATTCACAACTGCTTTAATTTTTGCTCGATCTACTGAGACTCCATTCTTCAAAATAACATGCGCAAGAAAAGACATATTATCTAACCAAAACTCCCACTTCTTAAATTTTGCATAGAGTTTTTTCTTTCTCAAAATACCAAGCACTTATTGAAGATGTTCCTCATGCTCCTTCTGGTTCTTCGAATATATCAAGATATCATCTATATATATCACCACAAAATAATCTAAGAAGGGTTTGAACACCCTATTCATAAGATCCATGAAAAATACAGGTGCATTCGTTAACCCGAATGGTAACACAAGAAATTCATAATGACTATAACGGGTACGAAATGCATTTTTTGGAATATCTTCAGCCTTAATCTTTAATTAATGATAGCCCGATCGTAGATCCATCTTGGAAAACACCTAAGCTCCTTGTAATTGGTTGAACAAATCGTTAATTCTTGGTAATGGATATTTATTCCGTATACTCATCTTATTGAGCTCTCGATAATCAATACATAACCACATGTATCTGTCTTTCTTCTTCACAAATAACACCGGTGCACCCCAAGGTGAAACACTAGGTCTAATAAACCCTTTATCTAGAAGTTCTTACAACTGCTCCTTAAGTTCTTTTAGTTCTGCTGAAGCCATTCTATAAGGGGCTTTTGAGATAGGACTTGTGTCTGGAACAAATTCAATAGAAAATTCTATTTCCCTATCGAGTGGTATTCCGGGGAGATCTTTTGGAAAGACATCAGGAAATTTACACACGATAGGAATTTGATCCAAACTAACTTCTTTCTGGCTTAAGTCGTGCACTGATGCTAGAAAACCAGTGCACCCGCTCCTCAACATGCGATGAGCTTGAATGGCTGATATAATGCGCATAGGTTTTTGCACCTTACTGCCCTTAAAGAAAAATTCCGATTGATCGGGAATTCTAAACACCACCTTTCTCTCTTGACGTAGAATAGATGCATGATTTCTAGATAACCAATCCATTCGTAGAATGATATCGTAATCATGCATATTAAGGATGACCAGTTCCGCTGGAAGCTCCATATCTACTATTTTTATCTTACATTTGCAATACTTATTAGATATTAATATGTTATCTCCTGGTGTGCTAACATACATTTCATGCTCTAGTGTATCACATGGTAACTCTTGCTATCTAACAAATTGTGCGGTGATAAAAGAATGCGAAGCTCCAGAATTAAATAGTACTCGTGCAAAAGTAGAAAATATAGGTGTAGTACTTGACACCACATCATTATTTGCCAGAGCCTCTTGCCCGGTTAGAGAGTAAACTCGTGCCTTTACTTGAGGATGCTGATCACATAGATATGTATTATGACTTGGAGTTTCATTCAACTTAGGACAATCTGCGATCTTGTGATCCTTTTGGCCACACCTCAGACAAGCACCTATAACTCTCCAGCAATTCTTCACTTCATGATTAGACTTGTCACATATGGTGCATCTCATCGACTTTTGGTTCATAGTCTGCTTTCCTTTGAAATCCACATTTTGTCTCTTGTTTTGCCAATTTTTGTTGTGACCTCCACGTCCGTCCGATCTGAACATCTTCTTCATATTATTATTTTTGTGGTCATCAACCGAGAAAATTTCTTTTCGTTCCTTTTCGATCACTAAATATTTCTTCAATACCGCTGCATAAGTGGAGAGTTCAAATGAGCTCACTTGAAACCTTATATGGGGCCGCAGACCCTCCTCACAACGACGTGCTCTATCTTCTTCAGTTGCAACAAATTTAGGTGCAAACTTGGATAGATAGGTAAATTCCTCCTCATACTCCGCCATATTCTTATCATTTTGCTTCATCTCATGGAATTCCTTCTCCTTCTACTAGCAAACACTCTTTGGAAAGTATTTCTCATAAAAAAACTTTCTTAAATTCTTTCCAAGATATTTGGTCAGCACCATCTCCCAGAATTCTCTGCTGCATTTGCCACTAGCCATTTGCACATCCTTTTAACATATATATTGCATAAGCCACTTTTTCACCATCAGGACACTTCATGTAAGTAAAGACTTTCTCCATTTTTGAGATCCAGTCTTTAGCTACCATAGGATTAACACTTTCTTTGAAGGTAGGCAGTGTCAACCTCTTAAACACCATCATACCACTTCGTAATCGAGGATGATTAATGTCTCGAGATTCTTACTGTTTGTTAAGTTGTTGCTGCTGATTTGCATCATAGAGGTGAGACTTTGCATCATCTACAACATAGCATTGGCATCCATTTAATTTTCTCTAGAACCAGATCCACGTACATTTCTATCACCAAACATTTGCCCCAAAGTCTGGTGCAAATCACTTTCTCGAGTTACATTAGTATTCATGTTGTTCCTAGCTATCTAGTTATAAAGAAAGCAAACAATATATCAATAATCACTAAAAGCAATTCTAAAAATTTATTTCTAACCGCTACTATCTATAGAACTCTAAGCCTAGGACTTCTAAACCTGGCTCTGATACTATAACTTGTCACGACCCCAAGATGCGTAGCTGATTTTGAGATGCGTGACAATGGCACCACGTGCACAAAGCACATGCTAAGCCTACGGTGCACTTCCATATTACAGTAAATTTCATTTTAAAAGAAGCTTTATTGACAAATAAAGAAGTCTCAGAGCGAAACTACATTATCACAAGTTCACTCTAATGAGTCAAAAGACTCTTATTACATAAGCATTGTAGCATGACTAGTATAACTATAATTCTAATATCAAACACCCTAAAAGATTCTTCTCATGTTCTAAAGCTCCGAGGTTTTGATAAAACCATCTAATTTTCATTTGAAAAAGGATTAAAAAACAATGGGGTGCATTTACACTCAGTGAGCATAAAACTTATCATTAGCGGATTAGTCAAGTTTAAGAATTTATCAATACTTAAAATTTAAATAAACTATCATAAAAAATAACAATTAACAAATACATAATATTTCAAATAAAAGAAAATTTGCAAGAATAGCATGTGACATTGTCATAAAAGAATATTCACAAATTAAAGAAATAATACGAATGAATGCTAGATACTTTTAAGACTGTATTTTTCGATCTAAATTCACAATTGTAAAATTTCCTCAGTTATCACACTAAGGCTACATAAATTATAGCCTAGTAACATGGGAATGCACATTAAATCACTATAAGTCAACCCGATGACAGAATGTACTTAGCACTACCATATGTTGCCCGAAGGCCACTTCACTTTTACCAAAATACCACTTTAACACTAGTTGGTATATTCAATACCATACGGTAGGCTTAAACAAATCACTTCACTCCATAGTAGGCTTCTGAGGATTTTTAACATTTAAAATACTTTTCTTTTTGTTCAAAGTATCTCCAGCAAAAAGCTAAAATCCAATGGAGTGTCAAGGGAGATAGAAACACAAGCTATTTCCACTCAATTATCAAGTCCAACAGGCATCATAACAGGGTCTTAGTCCTAAACAACAGCATGGGAGGAAAAATCACAGAGGAGGAGGAAATTGTTAAGGAAATCATTTCTTACTATAAAAACCTCATGGGCACAACCATCCCATCATCAGATCCAAGCACAGATATTATTCAGAATGGTCCATGTCTGGGAGAAAATCACATCAGACTTCTATCTACACCTATATCAAAGGAAGAGATAAGGAATGCAGTGTTCTCCATCCCAGACAACAAATCCCCAGGCCCTGATGGATATGGATCTTCCTTTTTCAAATCCTCCTGGAATATGATTGGAGGTGAAGTTACTCATGCTATTCAAGATTTTTTCCAAAATGGTAAACTATTGGGTGCTATTAACTCTACATCCATCACTCTTATACCCAAGGTACATTGCCCAAACACTCCTGCTGACTTTCGGCCAATTTCTTGCTGTAACTGTCTTTATAAAGTGATATCAAAAATTCTGGTAACTAGAATCCAATCAGTGATAGGGTATCTAATAAGTAATGCCCAAAGTGCTTTTGTCAAAGGTAGGAATATAGCCAGTAATATCCTTTTAGCTCATGAATTGGTGAAAAACTATGGCCGGAAACACATATCTCCAAGGGTCATGATAAATATAGACATAAGGAAAGCTTTTGATACCATTAGTTGGAAATTCATTGAAGCTATGCTAAAGGGCTTGGGTTTCCCCAAAGTAATGACTGAAAGGATCATGACTTGTATATCTTCTCCTAAGTATTCTATATCTTTCAATGGATCACTACATGGCTATTTCAAAAGAGAAAGAGGCCTTAGGCAAGGAGATCTCCTCTCCCCCTACCTGTTCATATTGGGTATGAAATATCTTTCAAGGAATCTGGATCTACTAAAACTGGACAGGGATTTCAATTTTCATCCAAAGTGTGGTAAGCTCAAGATTACACATTTGATATTCGCTGATGATCTCCTGTTATTCTGCAAAGGCAACCTTAAATCAATTCAGAAGCTCTATCAGTGCATTACTCATTTCAGTGAGGTCTCTGACCTTGATGCTAATCCTAGCAAAAGTGTAGTGTTCTATGGGGGGGGGGTTCTGATCCAATCAAAGAAGATATTAAAAATTATCTGAATTTTTCTGAGGGATCTCTCCCTATCAGATATCTGGGAGTTCCATTGGTATGCAGGAGACTTTCATTACAGGAATGTAATCCCCTATTCACCAGGATCTCAAACCAATTCCAGAAATGGCTGAATATCAGAAATCTGTCATATGTAGGAAGAATTCAGATTATTAAGAGCATTATCCTTGGCATTCAAATATATTGGACCTCATGCTATATTCTACCAGTCAAGGTGCTACAAAAAGTGGATGAACTATGTAGAGATTTTCTGTGGGGGGAAAAAAGATCAAATCCGCAAGATTCCATTGATATCATGGAGTAAAACATGTGCAAGTATGATACAAGGAGGCCTGGGGATTTTCTCTTCAATTATCTGGAACTATTCATCAGCTATGAAGATGCTATAGGACATTCATTCAAAAAAAGAATGTTTGTGGATTAAATGGATCCATGAGACATACTTAAAACACACTGATATCTGGCAAGTGGAAATCAAGAATAGTGACTCTTGGATGTGGAAATAGCTCTTAAAAGCTAGAAACAAAGCTTTACAACAATGTGGAGGAATAGAGAACCTACATGAGCTCATCAAGGCAAGCTGCTGCAATAACAGTAAAGTTAAGCTATCGAAAATGTATCAAGCTCTATCCCCTAAAAAATTGGGGGGGGGGGGGTTAATCATCCTAAGCACTCATTCATTTCATGGTTGGCGGTGCATGACAGACTTTTGACACAGGATAAGCTTCAAAGAAGAGGAATCATTCAAGATAACAAATGTATTCTATGCTCTGGTGCTGAAGAAGAAAACAGGAATCACTTATATTTTGAATGCACCTACACAAGAGAAGTCTGGATCAACATCATGGACTGGTTGCAGTTTAAGTGGAAGAGTTGCAATTGGAATCTTCTTCTAAATTGGTACAACTCAAGTGTTCGAGGAAAAGATTTCAAGCATAGAGTAAAAAGAATGGCCCTGTCTACATCTATATATAATGTATGGATGGAACGCAATGCAAGAATCTTCAAACAAAAATGCAAGGGGATTGAGCAACTTACCAGAATTATCAAGGTGGACATGTTAACAATAGTTCTAAATAGTAATATACATATAGAAGATGAGAAATGGATAATTTCCCTGTAACTGTATATATTTTGTAGGGAACTGACGGATACTCAATTTTGAGTTCTTCAGATGTACACAAAATTCTCCATATGGTCAAATGAATAAAATTTCATTTACCAAAAAAAAGTATCGCTTATAATTTTCACTGATACGAAAAGCATTACAAATGCTTAAACTCATTTGCAAACTTTTCTCATGTCAATTTCATGAAAATAGATTATTCATGAATCTAAACGAATAGATCATTTATTTTTGTCAAATAGACCTATTTAATAAATGGATTTGAGCCGTAAATTTGAAATGATAAATTTTCAATAATCTCATATACTAAACAATATTTATCTGGTAAAAGATAAATAGCTATCACATTCAAATTACTATAAATGAATAGAATAACATGTCTGATCCATCATTTCTCTATACAAAAAATAAACTTATCATTTAAATAATATATAATAAAAAATAACTAATGAGAAGTATTCTACTCACCCTAAAAGATCTTGTAACAATTTGGAGAACCGTGCTCCAAAAACCTACTCCTCGATCAAACCTATAATCATATAAGATGCATAAAAACTAAAGATTCCATACTCAAACTATTTTGGGTATAAAAGTAGTATTTCTAGTTTCTAGGGGGTTTTCTTAAATTTAATTCTATCCTTCATTAAACAGAACTTGGGCCTAACAATAACTTTTCTAGTTTAATGGGTCAAAAGGAAACTTTTTCCATTAAATAGATTTCATGTAGAAAATATCCTTTCATATGTTTTGGATTTAAAAATAAATTCTCAAAACTCTAAGGGGCCTTGGATAGTTTTCCTTTCTTCTTCCTCTTACCTCTTCCATTTAACTGTTTATGAATGCAAATGGGTTTTTTTGGTTTCGGCGGCCATAGGGGTCATCACTAGTGAAACCCACAACCGTGGATGGTCGGAGTTCCACGGATGACGTCGGAGATGGCGCTGGTGGCTGGTAAAAGGTGTGAGTTTTTTAATATGTATGCAAATAAACCATAAAAAAACTAACCTGTTAGAAGTTCTGATCTTTCTCCTTCTTCCCCTTCCCTGATCTCGCTTCCTTTTCGGTTTTTTTTTCGTAAACTGAAGATTTTGGGGATTTTAGGTTTT